TGAGGCTTGATAATATTTTGTTGAGAATTTTTGCATCTATGTTTGTTAGGGATATTGGCCTGTAATTTTCCTTTATTATAGTTTCTTTGTCTGTTTTTTGGTATTGGGATAATGCCTGCCTCCCAAAATGAGTCTGGAAAAGTTCCCTCTTCTATTTTTTGGAAGAACTTGAGAAAGACTGGTATCAATTCTTCTATAATAGTGTGGTAGAATTCACCAGTGAAGACACCTGGTCTTGGATTTTTGTTTGGCTGGAAAGTTTTGAATACTCATTCAGTCTCCTTACTAGTAATTGGTCTGTTCGTATTTTCTATTTATGATTCAGACTTGGTAGGTTGTTATGTTTCTAGGAATTATCCCTTCCTGTTTATCCAATTTGTTGGTGTCTAATTGTTCATTTTACTCTCTTATGCTCTTTTGTATTTCTCTGGTGTCAGCTGTAATGTCTCTTCTTTCACTTCTGATTTTATTTGAATCCTCTGTTTCTTGGTGAATCTAGCTAAAGGTTTGTCAATTTCATCTTTTCAACAAACCATCACTTAGTTTCACCGACCTTTTCTGTTGTCTTTTAGTCTCTATTTCTGCTCTGGTATTTACTTCCTTCCTTCTACTACCTTTGGGCTCTGTTAGTCTTGCTTCTCTAGTTCCTTGAGATAGGCTTTTTATTGGTTTGCTTCTTAGAACTGCTTTTGATGTATTCCATAAATTTTGGCATCTCGTATTTCCATTTTCGTCTTAAGTTATTTTTTGATTTCTCCTTTGACCCATTTGCTGTTCAGGAGCATTTTATTTAATCTGCATAGTTGAGAATTTCCCAGTTTTCTTCTTCGAGTTCGAGTTTCATACCATTGTGGTGAGAGAAGATACTTGAATTTTTTTTTTCAAAAAATTCAAAAAATTTTTGGTGGCCTGACATATGATCTATTATGGATAATGTTCAAATGTGCATTTGAGAATAATGTATTTTTCTGCTTTTGGATGAAATGTTCTGTAAATGTCTATTAACTCCATCCTTTACTATTATTGTATGGCTGTCAAATTTTCCTTTTAAACCTGTTAATTCCTCTATATATTTAGGTGCCCCTATGTTGAGTGCATAAATACTTAAAAATGTTCTAGTTTCTTGATGAATTTACTCATTATATGAGGAACTTTATCACTATTATTCCCTTTGTCTTAAAGTCTATCTTGCCTGATGAGTATGGCTATTCCAGCTTTCTTTTGGTTTCCATTTGCATGAAGTATTTTCCTATCCCTTCACTTTGAGTTTACCTGTGTCCTTAAAGCCTAAGTGAGTCTCTTGTTGGTAGCATATAGTTGTTTTTTTTAATCCATTCAGCCATTCTGTTTTGGAGAATTAAATTGATTTATATTTAGATTAATTATAGATAGGTGAGGCTTTACTAATATCATCTCAGTCATTCCCTGGCTATTCTGCAATTCCTTTGTTCTTCTTTCCTGTTGCCTTCCTTTGTGAATTGATGACTATCTGTGGTGATAGTTCTCATCCCTTCATCTTTTGTGAATCTACTATAAGTTTTTGCTTCGTAGTTACTGTGAGATTTACATAGATCATCTTTTAGCTGTAACAGTCTATTTTATGCTATAACAATTTAACTTCAGTCACCTGTAACAACTCCCTTTTAGTTCCCTCTTTTACCTATTTGACGTCACAGTTTACATCTTTCTGTCTTGAATATATATTAAGAAATTCTGTAGTTTTTTTTGCTAAATTATTTTTGCTACTTTTGTCTTTTAACCTTCATACTAGATTTGTGATTAACTCATCAGCATTTGAGTACTCTGAATCCAGCTATATATTTACCTTTTGAAAATTCCCAAATATATGGAGAATAAACTATGCTCTTGAATAGTAAATGGGTCAAGGAAGGGAAAAACAAAACACTTGACACAAATGAAAATGGAAGCCTGTAGCTATAAAATTTTTATTTTCATGTTTTCCTGTTACTAATTAGTGCCATTTCATTCAGCTTAAAGAATTCCCTTTAACATTAACTGTAAGGGCCTATCTAGTGGTATTGAAGTCCTTCGGCTTTTTCTTTTCTGGAAAAAACTCCAGTTCTGAAGAACAACTTTGTCAGGTAGAGCATCTCAGTCGGACGTTTTCTTCCAGCAATTTGAATATACCATGCTACTTCCTTCTGGCCTGCAAAATTTCTGCTGAAAAATCTGCTCACAGTCTTATGGGGGGGTTCCCTTGTATGTAACATTTGTTTTCTTGCTGCTTTTAAGATTCTGCCTTTAACTTCTGCAATTTAATTATACGGTGTCTTAACCTTTAGATTATCATCTTGAGAACGCTGGGTGTCTTTCTTTCCCCAAGTTAGGGAAGCTTACAGCCATTATTTCTTCAAATAAGCTTTCTGCCCCTTTCTCCCTCTTCCCTTTCTAGGACCCCTGTAATGCAAACACTTGCTTCATGGTGTCCTATAAGCTATTTTCACTTTTTAATTATTTTACTTTTTGCTGATCTGATTGGATGAATTTCACTGTCCTGTCTTCGACTTCACTAATCCTTTTTCTACTTCATTTAGTCTACTGTTGACCTATCTATTGAATTTTTCAGTTCAGTTATTGTATTCTTCAGCCCTGTAATTTCTATTTAGTACATTCTTTCTTATATTCCCTATCTCTGTGTTGAAATTCTCCCTTTGTTCATGCATCATTCTCCTGACCTCAGTGACCATCTTAATTACTGTATTTTGAAACCTGATTAGGGAAATCACATCTCCATTTCATCAAGGTCTTTTTTTGGAGGTTTTACCTTGTTCTTTTGTTTGGAACAAAGTCCTATTTCTTCATTTTCCTTGACTCTCTGCGTTGGTTTCTGTGCGTTAGATAAAACCACCTCTCCTAGTCTTGAAAGGATGGTCTTGTGTAGATGAAGCTTATCATTTAACTATGCCCTGGCTCTTGGCTATTTCTCATACCTTTGTGATCTTTCAAGCAAGCTTCTTAGTGCCTCTCAGTAGTGGAGGGTGTACCAGGATCTGACAGTGTCCTAAAGGGGAGGATCTCAGTCAGCACTTAGATGTATGCTGACTGGAAACTGTATTGTCAGACAGCAGCTTTTAAAGTATGCAAATAGACCTCTTACACTATCTATCTCCCAGTCTTCCCTGTATCTGCTCTCTTTGTACTGAGCCTTGGGGAGATAGTTATAAACTGTTTGCTACTGTCCTATGGGATCCACAAGCACTGCTGGCCAACAGAGCCAGGTGATCAAGAGGTATTCCCTGGGCATCAGCCACAATAACTGGGGTACCAGATGTTTGCACAAGCTTATTTCCTGGAGGTGCTGGTGACCCAGAGTGAGGCAGAGGGAGAGCATAAAGATGGTGCCTGCCAGCCTCCATGGTCTCTGGAGAGTACTACAGTGAGTCTCTAGAAGTGTGTTAAACTAGAAGCCTGCCCTTCCAGCTAAAGCATTTAAAATAAGCAAACAGGCTCATTTCACACAAAGACTGGCATGTTTCAGTATGTTGCCACTGTGCTAGGCCTTGGGGGATTAGCTAGTGAGTCCACACAAGCCTGTAACAGACTGCTTCTCAGGTGGCACTGGCCCCGTGGGCCTCAGGGATGAAAGCTAGGCCAGCTTTCCGAGCTGTGTGTTTTGGGAGCCCATCTCTCAGGCCCAGGCCTTAAAAGTTGGGGCACCAGCTGTGGGGTCCAGAAGTTTTCACCCTTTTGATCCTCAGGGTGAAACTGTTAGGTGTGAGTTCTCTCCTGGTTATGTCACTGTGCCAGGTGAGGTTTAAGGTAAATCGTGTCTGAGCCTCTCCTACTCATTTCAGTGTGGGTTTTTCCCCCTCACTCATGGGAGGAGGCGAGTTCGGGAGCCATCGTGTACTGGAAACTATTCTTTTTATAAAACTGTTTTACCTCAAATAAAATGTTTGGAATATCAGTAGTTAGTTAACATGTAACAATTTTTTTGGTAAACATTAACAAAGACCTTTTGGAATATGATTACCAGTTTTCAGGACAGCAGGCTACTAAGTAATCCACTCAAGTGACAAGGTAATGCAAGCACGTGGTCAAGATATTACATTCCTGGATTTAATACTGCTATGGGCCAGTTTGGCATCAGCCTCCATCCATTATTCTGATTTGTTAACTCTCATAAAATATATCCAACTGCTAACAAGGGAACTGGGCAGCAGTACAGTTGACCCTTGAACAACATGGGGGTTAGGCGTGCCAACCCCCAGCACGGCTGAAAATCCATGTATAACTTTATAGATTGCCCTCTGTATCTGAAATGCTGCATCTGTGGATTCAACCAACCACAGATCATGTAGTACTATAGAACCTATTTATTGAAAAAATTCCACATGTAAGTGAAACTGCACAGTTCAAACCTGTGTTGTTGAAGGGTCAACTGTACAAGAACTTAAGGGCAAATCTAGTATTAAATATACACAGAAATGACTCAAGCCAGTGAACCACTAACATTTTATATATAATCACTTACCCTGGTGGTTGACCTAAATTTTCTTATCACTCTTACTGAAAACAAGATTATTCACCAGAAGAATTTGGGTACATTTAAAGTTTTGGTCTACATGTGAAGTAGTATACTAACCTGAAAGATTATTGCCTTTTTATCTTCAGAATCAATTTTATCCTGCAAGTACTATTACAGAAAATTTAAAATGCATTTTGTTAACTTAAACTTTGTACTATTTCTTATACAGTCATGATGGAATGAATATGTCAAATTTAAAACATTTATCTGAGTTTGATGGCAGACCTAAGGAAAAAGACTATACTACACAAAAATTGTTAAAATGGTTTAAAAATACTACCTTCTCATTAAAAACTTTCTTATACTAATAAGCATCTTTGTAAAAATATATCCCATAGGAAACAACATAGAAATTCTTTTCTGTTAATTATATACTTCAAAGAAAATTCCTGTTTTGAATACTGTCAGAAAACAAAGGAAACATTTAAAGAAAACCTTACAATATTAATAATTATACAATAATCATTTCATTTTATTTTTTATCTTAATCATATGCTTTAAATGAAAAAGATAGGAAAATGTTAAATAAACTCTGACAAACTAGAACAGGCATCATTAATGCCCACAACACAAATTCCAAATGGTTTCACATAGCCACATACTTAAATGGATCTCATTTTCAAATCTAGCTGCCTGACAGAATGCACTCTGGTCAGCTAGAAATGATGCTGTTACCTAAGGCTGGTTGCACACAAAAATGGTGTTGCTAAGAGAAACGGCATGTTTTATCTGGTACACCAGAGGTGCTCTACCGTACTAACTGGCTATTAAAACCTTTAATTCTGCCAGCTGTTTTCAAATACCCAATGACACTGATGTAAGTGCAGAAAACGTCCTGATGTATGTTACTTGTATGATACATATTACTTGATGTGACTCCCAGGTAGCCCTGGCTTTTGAGCTGATTCCACAGGCACATACTTAGGCCCAGTTACAGGATACAAAATATTTACTACTTCATTTACTGCCTAAGATGTTTCTCAGCCAGTAAGTTTGGAATTCTATTTATAGGTAATAGTATAGTATAAGTTTGTTTATGGGTTCTGTGTCAGAACTGTGAATTACAGACACTAAGGAGATGGGGACTATGCCTTGGGTTTACTTTTGTACACTCCTAAGTGTTCAGCACAGTGGTACTCACATAATTGTGTACAAGTTCAGTAAATATTTACTAAAACTTCTTTTAGGCATTCCATTTTGGAATTTTTATAGAAACAAGCCAATTTTGAAAATTCTGGGCTTGGAAAATTTAATAAATGAAAGGCACTTGCCATTACTGATAACTCAAAAAGATGGTGTAAAATTAAGGTCAGAAGTGGTGACATGTGTAAAGTGGAATTCAAGATAAGAAATTAAAAGATAACACTAGATATAATATGGGAGAGAATATGAAGAATAGGGTTAGACTTGCAAATGAAAAAAAAACTGATTAATTTTTGGATAAACTGCAGTTGTAAATTAACCTTTATGAGGAAATTTTGGGGAATGCAGTAAAGTGTTATTAAAAAAACCTCTCCCAATATAATAAAACAATTCAAATAGGTTTTTAGGAAAACTTAAGTTAAAAAAAATTACTGACCTCTTTTGATCAACTGGGATTTTTACTATTCCATATACTCTGGATTACAACTAAATAACTACATGTTACAATCTCTTGTTTAAATGCAAAGAAAAAATTTTGAGTTCTCTGAGTCTGAACAACTAAGAAACTAAAAGATCCCATCCTTATTTATATACTGGATTTTCTTATTAAAATAACCGCAGTTATTATGCTAATATTTATCTGAAAATGGCAGCCTCCAACAATAAATAGTTGGAACAACCACAGTATCATTATAAGCTACAGTGAAACCTGCGAAGTTATTTTTCTACTTGAATGATGAAGATTGTTAAAGAGTGAAAAACCACAACTATGAAGGAAAAAAGGCAAATGTAAATGATAGTCCAGAAGTCAAAAACATAAATCTTTGAAAACTGTTCAAAAACAAATTACTATCACAGGGAAAACTTTGACAAAAACAACTCACAAAATACATGAACACTGTATCTTTTAAAACATAGAACTCTAAATATTTGATATATTTGGGATACTCTACAGTGTAGTTAATTGCTATAAATATTATCCCCCTCACATATCTAGGGATAGAAATTGATAAGATTTGTTTACTTACTGTCGCAAAATTTTCTCAAATGTGAAAAATTAAAATCAATTCTTCAACCTTTAGAAAGGAAAGAAAAGAAAATGAAGAATCTCTTCACTATAACAAAGCATAAAAATAGGTCGTCTTGTTTACTTTCCCACACTGAGCATGTTTTTTAAATGAAATATTGGTCAGAGAATCAATTTCAGCGAATTTTTAGACGAACAGAACTGAAAATCAAGTTCTTTTTAGGCCAGCCACAAAACTTTAAGTAATCAAGTATACTTTGTATAACTTAGGATGTATAGATCATAGAGCGTGCTCATGTTTGAGCTAGCCAGCCTAAACATCTTTCCAAGGGTCAGTAATCTGTGGCCCATGGGCTAAACGTGGCTTGTAGCCTATTTGTGTATGGCCCTGAGCTAAGAATTGTTTATAACCCTGTAAAAAATGTAAAAACCAAATAAAACAAAAACAAAGAATATGTGACAAAGAACCACATATGGTTTACAAAGCCTAAAATATTTACTATCTGGCCCTTTACAGAAAAGTCTGCAGACCCTTCATTTATACCAATGTTGTACAGAATTCAGGCAGTGCAATTACAAGTCCAAGGTAATGTTCATTTATTCCCATCAAGAATGCAGTTAACATTCTGAAAAGGTGTCTTCTGGTATCATCTGTCAATTTCTTTTTTCAGATTTTTCTTCATTTTCAACATCGTTAAAGTTCATCCTACAATAATAATGTAAAAATGATTGAATTCTTTTCTCTTTCAACATCTAATGTTAAAAGCAGGGTGAAAAATTATAAACTGACCCAGATTTTACCTTTTTAAAAATACTCAATATTCTTATTTACTAGATCACCACATGAAATATACCTTGTCGTCGTAACAGTGGAAAAAGGGTATCTCACAATTCTTACCTGCCCATGGTAGATAATACCAATTACACAGTTTACCACACTTTCAAAGTCATATTTTGGTATGCTTTTTAACTTAATTTCAGTTGTGATATTCTACTTTATGACTAATGTTTCTGATTTTAAATGTTTAACTTGAGATAAGCCACAATTTAAAAAGTAAAACATCTTAAGAAAATGAGAAAAAATATTTCTGTTCATTGAAATGAAGAAAATAAAGTTTCATAACTATCTCTTTCCTATCTTTTAGATTTGGGTATAATCTGATTCTTGAGAGAGCTGTAAAGTTTCCTGTACTGGGGTCTGTAGTTCTAATACGGCTCTATGAAGCCAGATGTCGCTAGCCCTCTTCAGAAGCAGTGCTGTTCTTGTTTCTTTTCACCTTATAGAGAAAGAATCCAAGAAATGTAATATTTGTGTTAAATTCCATTCAGAAAGCACTCCGGCATTCATAAACTCTTTGGTCTGTTTCTAAGTATGTCACAGAATGACACTGATTCAAAAAAAGGAAAAAATGAACAGAGAACAGCCCTCTGAAGAACAGCAGGAAAGAGCTTGCACTGCTTCTTGAGAGATTAATAACCCAAGGAAGGGCCAAGATGAACCAAAAACAAAAGAAAACTTGCTATCCAAAATGTGTTTGAGGCTCCAGTATATTTATTCCTAAGAATTCATGCTTTTACAGTTGAATAAAATTTAAATAATTTATGGCCATAGTTGTTGTTTTTCTGTTACACGGTTTTACTTGTCCAAATTTCTAAACATATCAATGTTTAGTAGCTACATTCTGATTTGCCATATTTTCCAAAGAAGAAATTTTTAACTATCTTTTACTATTTTTTGAAGCATCATTTATGGATACATATAATATATAATAAGAATAAATTTAGATGTTTGCCAAAGTCAGCTCTAGATTTAGTCCTTACCTTATTTCTCTTTCCATGATTTTGGAGATTTTCCAACTTTTCATATATTAAGGTAGTAATCTCTTTCGCATCTCTGGAATCTATTTGCTCTCCCCAAATAGTTCTCTAAAATTAAAAACACTCTTATAACATTTAAGTATCTAGTGAAAACAGGACATTTCCATCTTAGAAACTTGATTACATATTCCTTAAAGTTCCTAGTGTTTAAAACTCGAATTTCCTCAAGGAAATGCTGCTGCAAAAGCAGTTAAACCGTAATTTACCTGAAATAAATACTAACAATACTGTTATGGAAACATGTAAATTAATTCCTTGGTTAATACGCATTGCTAACTCCAGATGCCTCAAAATATCCAAACTGTATAAGAAAAGACGTCTCCAGAGGATTCCAATCATTCCAGTCTAAAATCACTGCTCAAATGCAACAATGGAAAGTAGTGTGTATTTCCTGGTTCTCCTCTGTCCACAGCAGGAAGGTGGCTAAAAAAGTAGGAGAGGGGACAGGTCAATACATTCAGGCCTGTTTTTTTTTGGATCTGGAGCTACTTATCTCCTTCTTCCTGGCAGGAACTCCAAACTGTATGTGAGGATTTTGTTTTTGTGTGTGACTGCCTACCTGGTTTGTATTTCTCACTTCAAACATTATTCTACTTTGGCCTTCTTGTCTGTTGGACTTTTGGACGTCACCCCTGTGTTTTCATTTGGATGGGGATATTTTGGGTTCTAATCTTGTCTTCTGGACACATGGTAATCTCATATTCTGAAACAGTTCCCTATATGGCCTGGTTAATTCTATGACTGCTCATTATACAGACACTTAACATCATTCTACCTGAATAAGATTCCTATTTACGTCACCCGTTTTTCAGGTTTCTGGGAACCAGAAAGCTAGGGATTCCAAAGGAATGAAGATTCAGGCTCTGGTATAAAGCTCCTTTACTCTCACTGAGTTTTGTTTACCCCATACTGTTCTTAAGACAGAGGTAGCGTCCTCATAACTCAAAATCCTTCACTGAAAAATCTAGATGTCTGACAAGTCTAGATTTCAGAAATTCATCATCTAATTTCTTTAGCAGTATTTCAAAATATATTATAATAAAAAATATGATATTCCTTCTCAAAGGTATATATTGCAGTATTTGAAATTATTTCAATATTTTACCAGAAAACATGAATACATGGCAAATATTTGTTTATTTTATTACAGTCCTACTGTCAAAATGTCTTATTTTTTACTTAGGAAGATGGTAAAGGTCATGGGTCCCTCCAGTTGGCAATTATACCAGCTGAAAGACATATGCTTTTGTATCAATGACTGTAGAGGTTATCACCTAAATTTTAAGACCTACTGGTAGATGTCTATTTTTTTTTGGACTGGGGGAAAAAAAAAGCATATTGTCAGTGGCCCAAAAAAGAAATTATGACTAAATCAAGGAACTTGACTAACTTAGACTAACTTTTAGTCTAAACCACTAATAAATATTCAAGATTAATACTCAGGTACTTAGGATATTTTTAAAGTATTACAACAGTATTCTCTTATTATTATTTTTTCTTTCCTGGAAAAACTAAGTTTAAAGTAATATATGTTAATTCTTTAAAAGTAGGAAATACAAAAACTTCACAGAAAATAATTACCTTGAATTCTACCACCCACAGAAACCTACTACTAGTATTTTGGTATGTCTGTTTAATAGTGTCCCTATTCACGAGTATAAAAATTTTAAGGCAATGGAGATAATATCAACAGTAAGACAGAAAAATCTTTTAAAACCACTTGGTGTATACATGAAAAGAAGCTTGTTTCAGTGACATGCAATAAAATAAGGCATGACAAAGGGAAAGAAAGTAGAAAAAAGCATTATTCAGACTAAAAACAAATCTTTTGAGTGTGGTCTGCTAAAGGAAAGGCACACAGAGGAAAAAGCCTATACATACCTTTGCCCTTTCGTACGGATAAAATCTAACAGTTGGATAGGCTCTGATACCAGCTTTCTGGCAGGTTTGGGCATAAGCTTGACAGTCTACTTTTCCAGCTTTCACTTTGCCTTTAATCATCTGAAAAGAGAAAAAGATGCTTTGCCATTTCTTTGGCATATACTATTTTGGCAACCACAAAGCAGTATGATACTAAAAATTTCAAATATTTATAAATCTAAGACACGCATCTCTTCAGCATATATACACATGATCAAAAAAGAATTCCTCGTGTAAACTGTACTGGTTCCTCCAGCTACCACTCTGCTTCTCTTTCTTTGTCCCTTTTTTGAGCAGTTTATTCTTTCATCATTTCCTCATCTGTTCATTATCAACACATTTCAGCTAGCTTCTGTTCTTACAGCTCCCTCCACTGAAACTGCTATAAGTTCCCAATGACTCCTTTTTGGCTAAACTGAATGGACCCATCGGTCTTCTTAATGGGCATCTGACATTGCTGACCACTCCTTTCTTTTTCCCTTCTTGCCACTTACCACTACTGTCTCTTGTCTATCCTACTCCTCTGGCTAGTCTTCCTCATTTCTAGCACGGGACCTCCTCCTACACCTGCCCCTCACATTAAAATGTCCAATCACAGTTCCATCTTTCATCAATAATTTTTTCTGCAGTGAAAAATCTCCCAGGGAGATTTTATATATCTATATGCCTTCCCCCTTAATTAAAGTCAGGTATGTATACACTGGCCTGCTTCTCCTAAATAAGCACCTTAGAAACAACATTTCTAAAATGAATCCTATCCCCTTAAGCTGCTCTTCCTTCTGTCCTACTATTCACTTAGTCCAAGCCAGAAACTAGAGCCATCCTAGACTTCTTTTCCTCTCACATTTATCACAAACTAAATCTATTTATTCTTATCTACTTGTTCCACTCTTTGTATCACCACTGCCCTAATCCTGGTCCAGGTTATCACCTCACTTCAGGATAATAAAAATATCTTTGTTGCCTCTAGTTTTGTCCCCAGTGCTAGGGTACTTACAGGTAGACCAGGACACCAGCAAAGCTGCATGCAGAATCAGTTGTGCGTGCACACACACACACATACACACACACACAGTGAAGGTCAGTGAAGTCTTGTCAACTTGTATTTCAGTTATAAGGACACCATATTGCTTCTGGTGCTCTGCTCGCTCTCTCTGGCCTTGTTGGCCCATGTTCAGTCCATTCAATGCCATCTTTCTAAGATATAAAATGGATCCTGTCATATCCAGCAGTTTTCCTCCAATGCGTATATAGAATACATGCTGAATAGCATGAACTCACTGAGGAAGAGTGTACAAACTTCTTGCCTAATTATTGAGCCTCAGTTTTTGCCACTCCTGTTTTTTCTTTATCCCCTGGTAATACTGGACCAACACTGGAAATACCTGGACATGTTTCACGTTCCTAGTCGTGCTGTAATTCTCATCTCAAATGCTAACCTTTCTGTGGAGCCTTTTGTCTCCTCTTGGTATGACCCTGACCTTCTTTTTCTCATATTCTTGCTTCACTCTAATTTCACTACAGCAATGATCCGCCTACTTATTTATATATGTTTATTTAAATTTTATTTTCCCACTAGATTAAAATCTTCTTAAAGACATGGAATTGTCTTTCCATTTTTTTTAGCCATAGTATTTAGCATAATGCTTTTTTACCTGATACTCAGGATTTGCTGAATGACCTAAATACTTTCCTGCAATATTCAACATACAGCTGCATTACAAAATAATTAATAAATTTTTTTTAGCACTTAATGGATAGGAGAGTAAAACATTTTTGTTAGAATTATTGGAGAAAAAGGAAGCATAAGAGGAAAAGAAGAAGCTATGGTAAGTAGAAAAAAATGAACAGCCTCTTATTTTTAAGGACCAGTCAATAACTAAAACAGTCTTTCACAACTCCATAGGAACTCTGAAATCCCTTAGCTAAAAAATTCCCATGGCTTGAGCTATTCAGCTTTTGTTTTGGACTGGTGGAACTGGCGCTGACTTTCTCATTCTAATGAATGACGAATGTTCTGTAGCCAAAGACAAAGTTCCTTGAGTACAGAGGTGAAGAAGCTATCAATGTGGATTAGGTTATTAGCAGGACTACTATAATACAAACACCAAAACAGACTGCATTCAGCTTAATTTTGAAAGTATTTACTGAGTTAAGACACTGGGGTTACAGATAGGTAAGACATGTACTGTACTCTCAAGAAGCTCATAGTTTTATAGAGGAGACAGGTATCTAAATATATAGTTGACATGCACTGTGTAAGCACACTGATGGAGTGCGAGATACCCAGGTGACAATGATTAACTGGGAAGGGCAGAGAACACAGAAATGCCACTGAAGCTGGGCTCTGTAGGATAAGGAGGAATAAAATCTAGATGACCAAGGTAAGTAAGGAAAAGGCATTTTAAGAGAGCAAACAGCATGTACAAAAAGGTACTTGTTCAGAGAACCTGGAGTACTTTGTTGTGCCTGGAGTATAAGGTGTGAGTTCAGGGAAAGAGAGAAAGCTGAAGAGGTCAGAAGGCTCAGATTAGAGACCTGCAGTCAAGGATGTACTTCAAGAAATGTGGTTAACATGAAGGCAGAGAAGGCAATATTTCAGAAAGATCATCAGGGAGGAACTGAAGAAGGTAGACTGGCCAATATGAGACTACTTAAAAGGCACATATTATTAGCCTAGATGAGAGATGATGAAGGCTTGAACAAAGAGGCTAGCAGAGGAGATGCACAGAAGATGACAGATTCGAAAGGCATTTGGGAGACAGAACTGACAGGATCTAGTGACTGCCTGGAGAGCAGCAGAGTAACGGTGTCAGAATGGAAATAGGGAACAAGTGGAAGAAATGGCTGTTATGGTTAGGTAGATGACGTCAAGCAAGACAGGTTTTACTAAAGAAGGAAGAAATCTACTGCAAAGATTAGTCACAGAAATGGAACAGAGTTTTAAAAAATTCAGCGGAAACTTTAAAAAAAATTATAAATATAATTTTTATCTAATAAAACATGCATGTCACTCCAACTTATTTAAGTAGATAGACAAGACTTACCCTAGCCAAGAGCTCAAACTCTGGAGCAAAGTTTTGGCAAGGTCCACACCAAGGAGCATAGAAATCAATCACCCAATGGTTTTTCCCTTGTAAAACTTTTTCATTGAAACTCTGAGGTGTTAGATCTATAGATGCTTGAGGTAAAAATCTGTGGTAAAGGATCAAAATTATTTTCCATTATACACAATCAAAGTAAACATCTAAAACAGAATACTGCAAATCGTTCTAAGTTAAAAAATGACTTCAAAGAATGACAATGTAATTAATAAAGCACAATCTTGTCCTGGCAAATTATATTTCTTCACTAAGTACTTTAAAATGTGAGAACCTTAAACAAGTCCATAAATTTAGCTACAGACGTGAGAGGAAGGTAAGCAGCATTGACTATAATTTATACAATGATACATATTTTAATTACTCACCCTAGACCCCAGATTCTTAGGGAATAAGCATCCCTATTCCAACCACTGTAACTACTGAAAGAAGAAAAAATATGTAAGCTGTAAATGGTATTTTCTATCATTAGATATGTTCAGAAAAACAATCTCACTGTAGCAATTTAAAAGATGATAAGTTTAGCTGACTGACTTCATTTAGCATCTTTCTCAGACACACTTAGCTACAAATATTGCTTTTAAGGCTTCCCAAATATATTTTTCTTTAGTCTGATGTCTTTTGTGCTCCAGACTTGAATGTTCAGCTGCCTGCTGGGCATCTCCCACAGACCCATGCTAACAGTAAAACTCAAAATATCCAATGCTTTAATTTCTGAACCTTTAGTTATTGCTGTCAAGTTCTTACCCACTTTTTTAAGACTCACGTCGAAAGCCAGCTCATAAATGCAGCCTTTCATGATTGCCTCTCATAGCTGTGATCCCTTTCTCCTTTGAAATCCATGGTTCATTTTTACTTTTTAAATAGTATTTATTATATTCTGCCTTGCATTTGAGTTTCTTACCTGAAATGTCATGAGGTGTTTCGTAAACAGCATGGGCACTAAGACAGACCTGAGTTCAGACCCCAACTTCAAACTTTAGCAGCTGTGTGACTTGGGAAAGTTATCTAACGTATGTGAATTAGTTTACTTATCTGCAATAGTAGGAAGGGTAACAATTCTTATTTCTCGTGGTATGTGTGAGGACTAGCAGAAATAACGTGAGCAAAAGCATCTAGTATAGTACCTGAAACCAAATAGGGACTTAAACGTTCTTCTGCTTCTTACTTTCTTCTTTGCTAGACTGTCAGCTTCACGATCGTGGGACTGTTCTGACACTTTTCACCTTCTAAACTTCTCATTACCACACTATCTTAACATGGTGAGCTCCCCAAAATATTTGGGGGTTTAACTTTTAGTTACTTAGGATAACTTTTAAATTTTAACTGTGTAAGTAAATCATTACATAAATGTCTTCAGATTTTAGAGAACACTTACTGATATTGATAAGCGTTATTTGATTTTTGGGGAAAAAATCTTATCTCAGGGTATCTCCGAACATTTTCTTGGGCACAAAAAGAATGATATTGTTGGCAGTCTATACTGCCCACGTTGATCAGTCCAGTTAACGTCTATAAAGCAAAAAAAGGTAAGTAAAATATGAAAATGAATATATGTATGCATATACGTGACTGAGACACTGTGCTTACATCAGAAATTGACACACTGTAACTGACTGCACTTCAATTAAAGAAAGAGATTAGAATAAAATTACCTCTGTAACTATTTTATATGTTTATAATGGAGAAATCATCACTATGAGATGATTATATTAATTATCAGTGATTTTCAACAAATAAAAATTGCTAAAAGCTTAAAACATAATGGAACATTTATAGTAATGAACTAGAAATCTAATTTTTATAGTCAAGAATTTACTTCAATTATTTCAGATTAAATAACTGATTTTGTTCATCTATTACACTGGGAAAATTATGTATTTCTAAAACTCAAAGAGTTAGAAACCAAGAATTAGTGAAGTTCTTTGCAACTTTATTTCCAAAGAATTACTTTTTCAAATGGAAACATGGGTTGCAGGAAGCATACTGAGTCATGCCCAAATTAAAAAATTTTATTGAAAAGAGCAGAAAATTACATTATCATAAGTGTTAAAATACTAGAAATAAATTTAACTCTTAGGTTTGTTCACTATTTATCCTACAAATAAATATAAAATATAAGTGCATTTTCCATTCTGGTATTTAAATAATTTTTTCCCAATCTTTTATGATTTACAACAATCTATTTGCAGGAAATTAAAAAATCTGACTATTTCATTGATCAAGGCCATTTTTTTTTTTACTTTAGAGTCTCACAATACAGTGAAGAAACTCTAAAAATGAAAGAGTAGAAAAGAATTTTACTACTAAATAAAGAGGATCTTTGGGTTGACATTGGCAGAAATTCAAATTATGTTCCAAGTGACACAGAAAAAAAAAAGCGTAATTATTCTATATCATTCATATACCAGACAGAAATAGAGCTGAAATCTAATTGGTATATAAAAAGTGATCACAACTGTTATTAAGTGATAATCTAGAGGTGGGTTCACGCATCTCAATTTCAAAATAACTGTTAAATAAACATTCTCAGTAAATGTTAAGATTTATAGTAAACTATTTTACTATACCCGGGCCATTCTTTTCCATTCTGGCATTAAGACTTGGCATGGATGACACCATGGAGAATAGAAATCAACCATCCAGACTTCATCATGTTTTCTCTGTTTAACTAGTTCAGTGAAAGTGGTAGGTGTCAAGGAGATCACAGAAGGATTCATAAGATCCTAAAGAGAACACAGCTTTCATCAGAACAGATATAAAAAAGGGTAGTTCATATATTCTTGGCACATTGTTGGTATATGTCATCTAGAAAAGTTCTTGTTTTTGAAAAATCAAAAGATACATAAGGATATTTAAAGAGAATCTATTGTGAAATATTTTAAAAAGCAAGAAATACTTTATTTTTTAAGTTTGGATTTTGCCCATCAGTCTTCTTAAATCAAGGTGTATTTTCTTATTTCTGTGTCACTAAAATCATCCTAGGTAGAGAAAAGAGGAAACTTTAAGGATATGGGTAGATGAGGCAAGAGATCCAATAGTTGGCCAGATGTCTACATAGGCCATATTGTTCTTTCTGGAACCTGTAATTTGGTTGGAAATGACCCTTTACTTATTAATGGAAAGCCTAAAAATTCCATTTTTCTGACATTCTGACTGGAGATACTGCACGATCTCAGATCATTTGCTCCAAATGCTGTTTTAACAGAGCTTCAATCTATCATGATTGAGTATTACTAATGGAGATGTTAGCTTCCCTGGGGAAACTATAAAAAAAAGACACACAAAAATCTGTTACTCTGGAGGAGGAAGAGATGGGAAGGACAGAGAGCAGAATGATTACTGCATGGATAATAAGCTAGAATTGTTCATTTCTTCCTTAGGAGGCCCTGTAACTATTTTAGTCAATTAAGACTATTAGAAAAAAAAAAAAGAGGAGATGGATGCTATAGATGCAGAACACTCCTGTGCTAATGACACAGCAGGCGTGGCATAAGCTGCCTAGGCCTGAAGAAGCCCTCCACTGCCGGTTGGGCTAACACTGCCCTTAACCACACATTTCTTGGAATTATCCAAGAATGTGGGCTCACTGTTACCTCATCTATATGGGACCTGAAAGAAATAATCTGCATTAGTTCTATCAGAGAAAAAAGGGAAAGGGGAGTGACAAGGCTTTATGTAAAAGTTATAATTGCACGTATTCAATAAATAACTGTGTCCACTAAGTACAAGGCATGGTACTAGGTAACAAACAAAGCATGTATTTGTTATAAACTCTGAGAATAAATCTATAATAAGAGTAAAATACTAGAAAATTTAAAAAATTTTGTCAGAAAAAGAATAAATCCTACTATTAAACATTATTAAATGTTCATACAAAGTGTATGAATATGTGGAAGAGTGGATACCATAGTCTATAACTTAACATACTTCTACAAACTCCAAGATCTGTTCAGCAGAGTGATGTCCTTCGTACTCATGAACGCTGGACTGGTTGAACACCACTGTTGTTGGATAAGCCTGAATGTTATACTGTTAGGAATGAGAATACAAGTTAAACAAATATTTTATACATTTTACCTACTTGTTTCAAATTATAACCAGTTTACCTTTAAGTAACAACAACAAAACTGTAAAAACTCACTGCTAAAGTGGCTACATTTAGCAGAGGAAATAGATTTACAATTGTACTCCTGAGTACTTGACCCTTATTTACAGCTACTCCATTACTCATAAAATCCATAGGCACTGAAACTCTGAGAAGTGAGCATGGTTAACTATGAGCTTAGTCCTTTTCTACTCTCCTGAACCAAGGTGGATGATGCTGTAAAGAGTGGACCAATTTCTAGCTTAAGTGTTTTTCTGAAACCATAACAAAAATTCCAATTTGTCTAGAAGTAGAAGAAAATCAAGGAAATAAAATAGCAAGAATAAGGAAATAAATTAATAGTTCATGTGTACACAACCATATTTTTGGTTAAAGAATTATGAATCATGCTCTAGGAGTGTAGTCACTTTTTATTCTTTGCTCAAGACAGTTTTTATGGTAAAAAATACTGTAATTTCCTCCTCAGAATTAATAGGCACACACTAACCCAGAAACCATCTCTATTTTAAATTTTTATTTACTTTTTAAAACGTTATAGCGATCCCTGTTTGTGGATTTGCTGGAGCTGAACTATGCATCCTCAAAGTTGACAATCACTGCTTAGCAAATTGGAATCTTTGACTAGGATTCAAAAATAATTTTAGAAAAAATAATAGAAACACTTAATCTTTTATAAATGACTGCACATAACCAATTATATAAACAAAACAATTTTATCTAACATTTGACAAGTCCTTACTATGTACTGAGCACCCTTTTAGCACTGAAACACAGTTTCTCATCTGTTCCTCATAACAATTCTATTCAAAAGCAACAATTACTAAGTCAACTTTATAGATGAGAAAACTGAGGTAGTGAGAGATAAAGTTGACTTGGTCAAAGTCAACCAATTAGTAAGTAGTGAATCCTGGCCTCTACTCTGAGTGAATTTGATTCAATAGTTTCAAATCTTTACATTTTACTTAATTATCTATAGAATATTAATAGTGGTGGCTCTATTTTTAGCTTTTTGAGGAATCTCCAGTTTTTCATAGTGGCTGTACCAGTGGCTGTACACTCCCACCAACAGTGAAAGAGGGTTCCATTTTCTCCACACCCTCTCCAGCATTTATTATTTGTAGACTTTTTGCTGACAGTCATTCTGAGCAGAGTGAGGTGATATCTCATTGTGATTTTGATCTGCATTTCCCTAATAATTAGCAATGCTGAACATCTTTTTAATAGCCTGTTGGCCATCTGTATGTCTTCATAATAATAATTACTGAAAGTCATCAGATATCCAGTGTTCAAGTTTCCCCAACTGGCTTTTTTTGCAGTTGGTTTGTTTAAATTGCATCCAAACAAGGCCTAAACACTGCATCTGAATGATATGTCTTTTTAAGTCTCTTTAATATCTTCTCTTCTTTCAATGTTTTTGTTTAATAAATTGGTATTTATCCTGTAAAGTTCTCTACATGCTAAGATTTGAGGTCTGCACACGGTGTCACTTAACGTGTCCTTCTGTCAATGGATTTCTTATACACTGATATCTGAAGGCTTGATTTGATTTAGGCTTTTGCCCCTCAAAAATATTTTATACATGGTATTACATACTTTCATCAAGGTATATAATTTCCAGTTCTTCCTAGAATTGAAGAATGAATATTTATTAACCTAAGAAAAATTTTTAATGTAAACAAAGGTTTCAAAAACCTTGTTTGTTTTAATATCCTTCTATTAATTATACTTAGAAGACAAAGTAAAAACTATGGAGTGACAAAAGGTAGTATTACATTTAAAAAAACCTCAAAGATCTTAAATAACTGGAAAATCATGTATTTTATCAAGTCAACTCAGTATTTTTCTGAGTTTCATAAATAAGACCATATCTACATTGAACCTCATATAGTCTCTACATTTTAATCCCATCATAATTTTATATCATTTTGTTGAAGTTATTTATTGAAATAATTTATTATTACTCTAAATGTAGATGTACATTTCAAAGTTACTTTACTGCTTTAACATTAGACTGCCAAAAGGTCTCTATTTTACAAAAACATTATTTAGAATAAATTTTTTTATACTTTGCCTTACCATGTTACAGAGTCCCTCGTGAACTGTACAATCTAATGTACCAAACTTAAGCTGACCATAAAGATGCTTTGATGCTTTTCGTAACTCTGGCAATAAAGCTCGACATGGTGGACACCACTACAAAACAAAAAATATTCACAAGCACTGAACCAAATGAAATAAAAAAAGACATCATTTTTGCAACAAGCAATATTCTAAGTAAGATAAACCACAACTTAGTTTTAAGTCTTATGCATTTATATACTTAATACTTGGAGGGGCAGGTATATCAGTGCTCTCTTAGAGGCAGTATGTGATAGTGGTCAAAAATGAGTAACACGTTTTTAATATTTATGGTTCAAGGTTATCTAGAAAATGTCTTTTTGCTGTGACAAGACAAAATATGACAACACTGAGATTTGACAGATAAAAATAACTTACAGGGGCAAAAAAATCAACAAGCCATGGTTCTTTGTCATTGGCAGGAAAATTTTGAGGTCCAAGTGTGGTAACATGAGAATTAACACTTTCTTTGGCAAAGGCAAGTATATCATATAGAATCTTCTTTCCTTTGAAATCGAGAAAGAGAAAAATTAAAATTTACATTCTGCCTTTTTATCCATAGAAATTTTCAAAGTTTTTATACTCGAAATATTGAAGAGAAGAAGATACAGTTATGAACAAACGGATTTTGAGGTTTTAATGTTCTCAATACTACATACACACAGTTTGCTCTGTCAGGAGTACCCCTGCCTTTACTGTTTCTTGGAGGATCAGATAAAATGTTCAGATCTCTTTGTAAAGTTCCTTCATCCTTGCAGGCAGAATAACTTCGTTGTAGTGTTCTTTGAGTTCTTTTTGTTTACCTGACTACTGTTATGGCCTAACTCTTAAATCTGTTTCTTCGACCTAGACTTTTTTATTTTATAAATTCAAAACCTGCTTTACCAACTGCCCAGTGGAAATATTCACCTGGATGCCATATACACATTTCAAAGATAATATACCCAAATAAAAGTTGAGTCATTTTCCCCAAACCTGCTCCTTTTTTTCTCACCATCCCTACCTCAGCAATGGCATTACCATCTACTAAATGCCTAAATAAGATTCCCCAGGGTGATTTCTGCCTGCTTCCTTTGCCCTTCTACCAGAGCTCCATCCATTCTATCTCTTACCATCTCCAACCTCAATTTTGGCTCTTGCCTAAATTCCATCTGACCTACTGAAATAACCAAGCTAGTCTTTCTGTCCTGTCTTCCTTAACTACACTTTCTACACTGCTGCCACAAACAAGTTACAAAAACATTAAGTTGATCATGTTGTTCCCCTTACTTCAAGGCCTGTGACGATTTGCTGCTGCCTAAGAATATACTCCTTGGTGTGGCAAATAACAGCTTTCTTAGGACCAGTACATAGTCCATTTCCCCAGGTGCCCTCTGATCTGTTCACTCGATAGTCAATATTAAGTCAAGCACCTACGAGGTGTCAGGCCCCACTTAAAATGCCATAGGGCATGTTAAATATAAGATACAGACCTTCTTCTTAAAGAGATCACAAGCCAGTAGAAGAGAAAGAAACATTTTCATAAATATTTAAATAGAGTGATAAATGACACTACATTCTCCTGCTTTCTCCTTATTCTTTAGCTGCTACTGCTTGAATTTCTTTATGAATTCCTCTTTGACAATCCCTTAAAAGTGATCCCTGGACCCTGATCTTTTCTCTTCACTTTTAGTCAAGCTCATTCTCCCAAGCTTTAGTTACCATTGATATGATGATTCTCTGTTGATTATCTGTATCTACAGTTTCAGCCCAAATTCCTCTCCTGAGGCCCAGGCCTATACTCAACTGTGAACTGGGGGTGTCTACTCCATGTCAACTCCTCCTCACTGAATGGTGCCATCAGTCACTCAACTGCCAATTCACCAAGTCAGAAACTTGGGCTTCCTCTTATTCCCCTACATCTAAACACAATCAAGTTATACTGATTTTGTATTCTTGGTATTTAAAAAAATCTGTCCACTTCTCATCTACATTATCGCTGTTTAGATAAGGCAGCCATCTTTTCTTCTCTTACATAAATGACTGCATCAGACTTCTATCTGTTCTCCCTTCCTCCAATTTTACTTTTATCCATTCTAGGCAGCCAGTCACCTTCCTACAATGTAGAACTGGTTAAATCATCTCTCTGCTTAAATCTATGAATGCCTCTGCTCTGCCTCTAGGATAGAGTCCAAATTACTTTACCTGATAGATAAAACATATAATTTGGACCCCTGGTGCCCCCTTCTAGCCTCAAGTCTCATTCCTTTCCAAAATTCAACATTAGAGCTATCCTGAAATTCTTGCTTTCTAAAAATAAATGAGGCTTTCTATCTCAGAGCCCACGAAAACATTTGTTGGTTCCTGTGCTTGGCATGTGCTTGACACATCTTTATTTGGGAAACCATTACTTCTACTTTAGATCTCAATGAAGAGATTACTTTCTCTTACCTCAGAAAATTATTTTCTTTTTGTTCTTCCTATGTGTAACCCATACTCATATCTTACAGTAGCCAGTCTCTAAGACTGCCCCCAATGATCCCTCATGTACTCATACCACTGTTGTACCAGGGTTTGTGTGTGTTACCAACAGAATATGGTGGATTTGACAGTTTATCTTGTCTAAGCCAGATTATAAAAGATTGTTGCTTTTGTGTATATGTATGTGTCTCTATCTGATTGTTCTGGGAGAACTGAGCAGCCTTACAGAGAGGCCTGTGTAGTGAGGCACTGAGGCCTCCCAATTATCTGAGTAGGCTTGGAACCAAACATGCCAGCAGTCTAACCTTCAGATGACCAGAGCCCTTGCTGACCCTGATTGCAACCTCATGAGAAAACCTGAGCCAGAACCACCGGGCCAAGCTGATCTCAGATTCCTAGACACCAGAAATTGTGTGAGTTAATAAATGTTTACTGTTTTAAGCTGCTAAGTTTCGGGGTAATTTACTACTCAGAAACAGATAACACTCCTTCAAACATTTTAAAACTTGCCCCTTTATGTGTCCGTTTCTCTACATAATGTCCTTTTAAGATAGAGATTAATTATAGTTCATTATATCCTACTTCCTAGTATTGTAATTGGCACATGTTTTATGCTCAATACCTACTTAAATAAAAAATAATACAAGTTATGTTATAAAGATAGTGGTAACACAAAAGGAAGTACTTGGGTATTCATAGTATATTCCCAGGGAAGAAAAAGCTTTAAGCTAAGTTTTGAAGGGTGATTTAGAGTTTACTAAATATTTTTAGGGGCAGGGAGAAGTAATTACAATGTAGGAGACAGAAAAATCTTGTGTGAAGGCACAGAGGAGTGAAAGAACATATTTTTAAAGATCCATAAGCAGCTGATGCTGATTATTTGGAGGGCAAAGGTGGGAGATGAGGCTGGGAATATGGGCACAGGCAGATAGTGAATGCTCCCTATTAATTTAACAACTGTTTACTTAGTTCCTACTATGCACCAGCATTTTAGGTGCTGGAAATACAGTGGTAAGCAAAACAGACAAAGTCACTGCACCTATGCTAAGGAATCTAAAGTGTATTCTAAAAGAGATCAGGAGATTCAAGGCAGAAAAATGAGTGAATGTTCTAGGTATTCTAGGGTAATAACTCTGCAAATAAAACAAGTAATTAGTTGTAAAGAGAAAATGCTACGAAACAGAAAATTGTACTGAAAGATATTATAGCAGATGACCAAGACAATAAACCTGAAATGAGGTAGCAACAGAGGAGAAATCTATGAAATATTTCAGAGGTGAAAAAGAACAGAATTCCATTATTAAAACTTGGGTCATTTCTAGCACTTTCAGGAGGCGGCATAGTTTAGCATGGCTATAAAACTAGGCTTTGGATGTATCTGGATACAAACTCTGCCTTTACCAGTTACTAGCTATTTGTCATGGGCCAGTTACTTTATCTTCCTGAGTCTCAGTTTTCTCCCTTGCTGGACTGTTGTGAAGATAAAAATGCAAATGCAAAATATGCAAAAGCCTTTAGAAAAACATCTGATTTATAAGAAATACTGAACAAGCAGTAGTTACTGTTAAGTGTATCTTGGCAAGTCTTCGCTCACATAGATCCTTCAGTCTACAGGTCCTCACCTGATTTTTTGTATTTGCTTTGGGAAACTTGAGCATTCAAATGTCACCTCAATTCAAACATCACCACCTCCTGACCTCTACTATGTAGAAGTTTATTTGATCTTATGATTTATACATAATGGTCATTATAATGTTTTCCATATGTTCGTACAAATCTCCCTCCTCTCACCCTCATTAGATATTATATTTAGTAGTTTGTGTGTCTCTTTTGCTACATATGACCTTTTTCAGGACAGCCACAATGATGTATCCCAAACCCTAGGAATTGAAACTGTATTTACATACTGCAGGGCTAAAGCACCAAACAAGCTGAAATGCAGAGATGCAGTTATAAATTCAAGAAAGATAAAAACACAGTTAATGGAGGTGTTTGGTTGTCTAGTGTTGTTGGCACACTTGAAACTGTACGTGTTGCTTGTTTTTGTCAACAATCAAGACCCTTACATTCCTCACTAGCCTGATATATCCTGAGTTTTTGCTGAAATACCGATCAAAATATTGGGTAGAAAAAAGGGATTTATTTTAAAAAGAGGAGGGAAGATAAAACTATATGTAATTCAAAACATTTTCCCACAAAAACAAATTTACTAATAAATGAGTGAAGTTATTTATAATAATCATGTCTATATGAAACAAGGTAAAAAGTACAAATAAAAATTACTATTTGAAAATGAAAAAGTTTTTATCATTTTTTCCTTCTTACCATGATGAATTTCAAATTCTTTGGTTCCTTGTCCTTTGAATACTGCTAGACACGGCTGAAAAACATAGAGATTACTACAGACGTCTGGTGCAGAGGCACAGTCAAACTTGCCAACCTAAAGTGGAAAGAGAAGGTTCAATCTGCTGAAAACAAAATCTTATGCATTCAATTAAATATTCATAAAGATAATCCAAAATTGACACTGCTCTAATAACACACCTTCTAAACGTTAAGTTAATGGACCATGAAAATAAGAGACAGAAATCATTAGTTTACATTTAACACTGAAACTAAATTAAGTTAAAAAAAAAAAAAAGCCTCCTAGAGATTTCAAAATCCTGAGAGGAAATTTCCAAGAAAATATTAAGTGCTTTAAGAAACCAACCCTTCTAAAAATGTAGAGGGTATTACATAATCTTGGGGTGGGCGAGAAAAAGAACTTCTTAAGACCCTAGAAGCAGAAATAATAAAGAAAAAGGTTGACATTTTTATTCAGTATGGAAAAAAACCTAGCAGGCAAATGATAAACCAAGAAAAAATATTTGCAGCATTTAAGACAGAGGATCCATTAAGAAATAAAAAGATAAACATCCCATCAGGAGAAAGGAAATGGGCCAGAGACATACACAGAAAATAAAGTAGAAAGCAAATAAATGAAAATGAGTATTACTAACATATCACTTCTGGCCTATCAGAACAGTGCTAATTATAATGAGTGATAATACCAGGGTTGGCATGGGTGTAGTGAAATGGTCACTCACATGCTGTCAGTAAGAACATAAACTGATACACACTTTCTGGAAGACTCTGGTAATGATGATAAAAAACTTTTAAGAAAATATGTAATCTTGGTTCAAAAATTCCTCATACTGTAATTTTGCAGTATATATTTTTGATATAAAAATGGAAACAACTTAAAAGTCATCGGTAAGAGAGGATTTGTTAACCAATGACAGGATAACCATACAGAGAAATGCTGCTTAGTCTTTAGGATGATGACTGATACATACATACATACACATTTCCATACACACATGTACTATACTGGTATATGATAAAATTTTACCACTGAATGGAAAATTTTACAAGAGAATACAGTAAATCCACTTTGATTAAAAAGTATATATATAAATTTACATGTGTGTATCTATTATAATGGCCATTACAATATGCATATATGTGCACACACATACACCCACATACCATACGGCAGTTAAAAAGTTTAAAAGGTTATACAGTAAATTATTAGTAGATTTATTAACAGTGATGAAAATATGGGTAATTCATTTCTGTGCTCATTTATATATCCTAATTCAAAATGAGCATTAATTACTTACATAATGAAGTAAGACTTTAAGAAAGAGAAAGCTACCCTAATTCTATATTATACATTGCAGTAAAACTGTGTAATACAGATTTACCACACACCAACTACTCAAGAGAAATGAAGGTTAAATATTAACTTTTAATAGAGAAAAAAAAAAAAACAAACAAACCAAAAAACCCACAACAGAAGAGCAAAAGCATTTAGGGGTTTCTCAACCTAGAATTTCAAATAAGCATTTTTGTTACTTAAAACATAATTTTATGTATTAAATTAAGAAAGCACACAAGCATAAAGCTAGGCAGAATATATTTTTCTTACTTGTATATGTTCATTTTTAAGTAGAGTTTTTAGTTTCTTCAACTCGGGATCGTTTGAATTTTCATTTTTTCCAAAATGAAAAAATAAGAGCCACCGATGATGAGCCAGACGATCCTTAAAAGTGATTTTTAAAAAGAAGTGATAAAAAAAGAGAAATGTCAGAGATGGGAAATCCTGAGTTCTGATCTTTGTTTCTTTGAGTTAATTTTAACTATCCTACCCATTACTTCAAAATACTGTCTAAAATTCAGACCCAGCCATATTCTTCTTTTGTAGTTTATCTGAATAATGCTATACACATCAATTATATAATATTACAGAAAGAAAAGTCACTAAATTATAAAATTTAAAGTGGGATACTGTGCCAAGAAAATATATGGTTTTTAACTACAGCTAAACAGCTGAAAGGTGAAGAAGTCAAGATTTTTCAGATTTAATGAAAATTCTGGGAACAACAAGAGGAATAAAATAACTGATTCTACTATAAACTATTCTGAAAGTTGCTTAATTCTCAGTAAACAATACAAATAGTCCCGTAAGCGAGAACAAAGCTCCAGGTCAGATCCAAAGTTGCGCTTAGTGATCAAAATCTTGCCTTTTCTGGTGCTCTTCCTGAAGCCTTGCTTCAGAATTAGTTAGGTTTTCTAAAACCACAGATCCATCCTGAAGTCGAAACCCCAGCAACCCTAGCATAGCAGTTTAACCTAGATCAACTGACATATATATAATCCTCTGAAACTGCTACTCTCTTTGAAATGAATAAAAATGCTCATTTAAAAATGTTAAATAAAATGTTAGGATATGAAAAGTTACCAACATTTATTACTATTATTAATAAAAATATTACCTCTAGTGTGTTTGCTGAAAGTAGTTCAAAGTCTGGAAGATTCTGCATTATTTCCAAATATATTTCTCTAGCATCCAATGAATTAAGAAACTAGAGTAAGAGAATCATATTGTAATCTTTTAAATCAACATCCATTTATTTTAGTATTTTTTTCAGTTTCCTCAGAACTTTTAAGAAAACAAATCACAGAAGTTAGTTTTCAAGCTAATTATTCAAATAATTACCTTCAAAAAATAGTATATCATATTTACTTTGGCAATTATCAAAAAGTTGTATAACTGGGTGGTTTCTTAAAAATAGTGATGTGAAATGAATTCCATTATTAGGTGTTTCATTACTGGAATTTTCTATTAACTGTGCTGTGTATTCTATGATAATCTCACAATAACCTGGAGTGCCCTATGGCTTATGAGGAAAAGCTGTATTATGTTCAGTTTAATTTTAATGCTAACCATATTTTACAGAATGCCACAGCTTTACAAATTCTTTAAAAATTGTTAAAACACTAGAATATTTAATGATCCAAGATACTTTATACTCCAATCAATAACCAATAGGAACGGAGATAAGAACAAATTATTACTGGAAAACTGGAACAGACCTTATTTATTACAGAGGTTTTCAGAAACAATGTCCAAACACTAAACTACCTAAGAATTTTAGAGAGTAAAATGTACTGATAAAGATATATTTTAAATATATTTTAGATCTAGGTCTCTTATTTAAAACACAAACCCCTGAAATAGGCACATTTCAATTCTAACAAATCTCCTTTATTCCTAACTATATTTTATCCTCAGCATATTTGTCTCATGAAAGTTTCTCTACTGGTCTAATTCTCAATGAAGCAGCTTCTATTATAAAGAGCTCAGAAATAGTTACATCAAAAAAAATGTATACAGGGGTTGATGAAACAGTTTATTGTGTATCTTTAATTATAAACTACCTAATAATTCAAATATTATTTACAAGACCTAAAACTCCATTAAAAATGTGTAGGAACTACTACTCTATTCACAGCTTTTAATAGTGTTTGACAGGAGAATAATCATATGGATAGAAACAGTATGTATTTCATAAGAGAAAACTCAGTTTTTCTGCTTAAAAAAAATCTATATACACCACATCAACAAAAGAAAGGACAAAAAAAATCACATGATCACCTCAATGGATACAGAAAAAGCATCTGATAAAATTCAATATCCATTCATGATAAAAACTCTTACCAAAGTGGAACATATCTCAATATGATAAAAGCTATTTATGACAAATCCATAGCCAACATAATACTCAATGGTGAAAAGATGAAAGCCTTCCGCTAAAATCTGGAACAAGACAAGAATGCCCACTCTCACCACTTCTATTCAACGTAATATTGCCACAGCAATCAGGCAAAAAAAAGAAATAAAAGGGATCCAAACTGGAAGAGAAGAGGTAAAAATGTCACTATATGCAGATGACGATACTATATATATAAAACCTAAAGACTCCACACAAAAACTACTAGAGCTGACAAACCAATTCAGCAAGGTAGCAGGACATAAGATCATCATAAAGTAATCTGTTGCACTTCTTTACACTAACAATGAAATATCAGAAAAGGAAAGTTAAAAAAAAATCCTTTTAAAAATTGCATCAAAAGAAATAAAATATTTAGGAATAAACCTGACCAAGGAGGTGAAAGACTTCTATGCAGAGACCTATAAAATACTGACTAAGGAAATTAAAGATGACTTAAAGAAATGGAAAGATATCCAAGATCTTGGATCTGAAGAATTAATACTGTTAAAATGGCCATACTACCCAAAGCAATCTACAGATATAATATGATCCCTATCAAATTACCCAGGACATTTTTCACAAAACTGGAACAAATAATCCTAAAATTTATATGGAATTTATAGGGAATCACAAGACTCTGAACTTCCAAAGCAATACTGAAGAAAAAGAACAAAGGTGGAGGAATAACCCTTCCAGACTTCAGATTAAATAGAGCTACAGTAATCAAAACAGTGTGGTACTGTCACAAAAACAGACATATGGATCAATGAAACAGAATAGAGAGCCCCAAAATAAACCCACAAACCAATGATCAATTAATCTTCCACAAGGGAAGCAAGAATATACAATGGAGAAGACAGTCTCTTCAACAAATGATGTTGGGAAAGCTGGACAGCTACATGTAAATCAGTGAAGTCAGAACACTCTCTCATACCATACACAAAAATAAATTCAAAATGGCTTGAAGACTTAAACATAAGACACCATAAACCTCCTAGAAGAGAAGACAGGCAAAAACATTCTCTGACATAAATCTTAGCAATGTTCTCCTAGAGTAGTCTACCAATGCAACAGAATAAAAGCATAATAAACAAATGCGACCCAATGAAACTTACACACTTTTTGCACAGCAAAGGAAATTATAAACAAAATGAAAAGACAACCTAAGAAATGGGAGAAAAATATCTACAAATGATGTGACTAACAAGGGCTTAAGTTCTAAAATATACAAACAGCTCATACAACTCAATAACAAAAAAACACAAGCAACTCAATTCAAAAATGGGCAGAGGACCTAAACAAACACTTCTCCAGTGAAGACATACAAATGGCCAACAGACACATGAAAAAATGCTCAATATCACTAATTATCAGAGAGATGAAAATCAAAACTAAAATGAGGTATCACCTCACACCAGTCAGAATGGCCATCATTAAAAAGTGCTCAAATGGTAAATGCTGGAGACTGCGGAGAAAAAGGAACCATCCTACACTGTTGGTGGGAATGCAAATTGGTGCAGCCACTATACAGAACAGTAAGGAGGTTCCTTAAAAAACTAAAAATAGACTTACCATATGATCCAGCAATCCCACTCCTGGGCATATATCCAGAGAGAACTCTAATTCAATAAGACATATGCACCCCAGTGTTTATAGCATCACTATTTACAATAGTCAAGACATAGAAGCAATCTGAATGTCCATCGACAGATGCCTGGATTAAGAAGTTGTGGTATATTTATACAACAGAACACTACTTAACCATAAAAAATTTTAAAAATGCCATTTGTAGCAACATTGATGGACCTGGAGATTGTCATACTAAGTGAAGTTAAGCCAGAAAGAGAAATACCACATGATATCACTTATATGTGGAATCTTAAAAAATGACACAAATGAACTTATTTACAAAACAGAAAGACTTTGAAACAAAGAAAACAAGCTTTTGGTTACCAGGGGGGGAAAGGGGATGGGGAGGGAGTTTGGGATTTGCAGATACTAACTACTATATATAAAATAGATAAACAAGGTGTTACTGTATAG